CGCCCCCCTTGGGGGGCGCAGAGGCACGCCAGGGGGGGCGCGAAAGACCAGGAGGAAAAATGGTTATATAAAAAAAAAAAAAGATTTAAAAAAAAAAAAAAATCATAATTAAAAAAATTATTGATTCGAAAATAATATGATACAGTACAGTACTATTACGTCTGGGTCTCTGTGTGTGTGGAACGAGCCATTTTGTGTGCGCGCGAGAGAGCGAGAGCGCACCGGTACCGGAGATCGTTGTTCTTAGCTTCTGGTGCTAGCGAGCTACGCTAACGGATATAAGGAGTTTTTCAACAACAAAGTGGAGGAGAGTCCTCTCCTGTCAGACTGAGAGACTCAGTGAACTAAAGGACTCTTTCATTGTTATCTCAGTGGGTCTAAAACGTTTTGGTCACCATTAATGTAAACAATTATTTCCGAGGCACACATTTATATGATCATTATAGTTATACAAAAATAAGAGAATAAATGAAAAACAGGTATGAAATACTATATGATATTAAAAAAAGAATAAAGTTTAAAAAGGGTGATTTGTAAAATATCCAGAAAGAAAAAGTAAATCTGTTTACAGTTCCGTTTCATCTGGGTGTTGAGAGGTATCCATAGATCTCTTCATTTTGCTCTCAATGTGTCCACACACCACCTATAAAAATAGCACTTTACCCCTGCTTACACCTATATGCCGTGAGCTGATTATCGAGCCTTCGTTGTAACAGTTGCGGGAACACTGTGTATATGCGTGTGGAGAGTGTTGCAGTAGAAAATTCCACTGTAGCGACCGGTACATTAATGGGAAACCCTAAATGTTTGAGCACCCTCTATGAAACGTCAAGCTACCCCACAGCACCCCCAAAAGAAGTCTCTGGCGCCGCCACTGAGCCTGACTATGTGTGTTGGGGGGGCCCGACTTTTTTTTTTTCTCCAAAGGGGGGGCCTGACAGAAAAAGTTTGAGAACCACTGCTTTAGGGGCTCCGTATAAATGAACTTTGGCTGCACCATAAAAAAAAAATCATGTATTTCTTTTATGAAGCATTTCTGAACATGAATGACTTGTTTAAAGGCTTACATTTGGATAATTCAAGATAAAGGTTATCAGCTTAGTATTTTCCTTTCAAAATAAGTGTTGTTTCTAAATTCCTCTGACCCTATTGCTTAATGCAGACATCTTTAAAAAGGACAAAAGGCAAACTCATCACCTTGTTGCACAACCCCTGCCCTAGCATCTCCCTGGCAGAACTATTTGTGGCTGTTTTGTGACCTTTCATTATACATCTTCCTTGACAGCTTTGCCCCAACTGACTCCAATAACACACACCAGAGCCTTTGCTTGTGTGTCTTTGATTCTGTGTGAGTGTTTGTGTGTGTGAGACAAAGCTGGCATGTTTGATGCATGCTTGCACTGGATCCAAACGCCTTACTTGGTAACCCCTGGTTATCTTTGTTGACAACTAATGATCTAAAGCAGACACTGGACCCACCCACCCAGAGCGATGGACCAATCAGAGATGTGGAACTGGAAAAGGAGTGGGTTTCTAATCTGAATTTCTGATACTGTTTCTCGGGGCTCACAGGCAAATTCTAAGTGGGAGGCAGTACGTGTTCTAAGTCTGTGGGAAATAACTCTGGACTGGTTGTGTTTACTTTCCTGGCAAGAGATCGTAGTAAAAAAACATTTCACATTGAAAACACACTGAACTGGTCGAATTTAGATAGATGAAGGAGGTTCAAGGTTCAAGGTTCTTTATTGTCAAACTAACATAGCTACAGAGTAATTACGTCGTTGAAAATCTTAGGTCACAGGCTTCTCCAACAATGCAACACAATAATACAGATAAGCAGACAATATTAAAACAATATTAAAATATACTATATTAAAAGTAATACAAAAATAAAAATAGTTTTAAAAAAGTGGAATAGTGCAATACGATATATATATATATATATATACGATATATATACGATATATATACGATATATATATATATATATATAATATATGCAAGCTATTGGAATGATATATTAGATAAATAGATCAATAATTACTAAGTAGCAGATGAATGTTATGAAATTGTTTAAACAGTTCAGGTGTTTAACAGTCTTATTGCCTGTGGGATGAAACTGTCTCTGAATCTGGTGGTTTTTGTCCGGATGCTGCGGTAACGCCTGCCAGACGGCAGCAGACTGAACAGTTTGTGGCTGGGGTGATTGGGGTCTTTTATAATCCTGAGAGATTTCTTCCTAAGCCGCTGGGAGTAAAGGTCCTCCATGGATGGCAGCTCCGTCCTGGTGATGTTCTCTGCAGTTTTCACCACCCTCTGTAAAGGCTTACGATTAAGGGCGGTGCAGCTGCCGTACCAGGCCGTGATGCAGCCCGTCAGGATCCTCTCTATGGTGCACCTGTAGAAGTTGCAGAGTATCCTGGAATCCATTTTGAACCTCCTCAGCCTGCGGAGGAAGAAGAGCCGCTGTCGAGCTTTCTTGGTGATGGTGGTGGTGTGAAGAGTCCATGTCAGGTCCTCAGTGATGTGGACACCGATGAACCTGAAGCTGCTGACTCTCTCTACCGTAGTCCCATTGATGGCGATGGGGGCGTCTCCCTCTCCCTGCTGCTTCCTGTAATCCACAATCAGCTCCTTTGTTTTGCTGACGTTGAGATGGAGGTTGTTATCCTGGCACCAAGATGTCAGTTTTCCGACCTCCTACGCCGTCGCCGTCTGTGATCTGGCCGATGACGGTCGTGTCGTCAGCAAACTTTGCGATGGTGTTGGAGCAGTGTGTGTTCACGCAGTCGTGAGTGAACAGGGAGTAGAGGAGAGGGCTGAGCATGCAGCCTTTAGGGGCACCGGTGTTGAGGATCAGGGTGGAGGATGTGATGTTTCCCACCCGCACTGCCTGGGGTCTGTCCATCAGGAAGTTCAGGATCCAGTCACAGAGGGCGTGAATCAGGTCTGATTGACAACAGTAGCTGATTGACAACAGGTCTGATTGACAACAGTAGCAGACACTGTGTACTCTATATGAACTTATTAAAGGGAAGCTTTTAAATGATCAAAAGATAAACCTGTCACCAAATGCACTAACGCATCAAGATCATGCAGTATTGTAGATAACAGGCGGAACCAGGGTTCATTAACTTGTCAAACCAAACTACTTCTCCTTTAAGAGAGACAGTAATCACTGTAAAATAAATGTGACAGATTTATGAATATGAAAGCAGAACCTGTACGCGAGGTGAGTAGATGTTGGTATTTGAGGGATTCTAGTTTCCGTTTAACCAATCAAATGTGAACAGGCTTTGGTTGCATGTATGTAATCAGTTTGTGAGAGAGCAAGTGGAACGATGCATTGGCCAAAATGCAATCTTAGATCCCATCGGGGGTTGTCTAAACAATAAAACATTTTATTTTCTTATTTTATCTTTTAACTGGTCGTAGTAATTCAACTCCAAGACCATTCTTGCATCTTAAATTGCTAACCAGAAACATAATATTCTTTCAATAAAAAAAGAGAATGTCCTGTATTTACCTAAAAGTTACTTTCTATCACAATCTTTCTCTCCAAAATGCATAAATAATGCATTTTTAAAATATATTTGTTCTCCCTTTATTTGTTTGGTACATTCTATGGTCTACCAGTCTGATATACCTGCTATATATTTAGAGACCAGCTAGCAAATCTCTAGCACATATTCTGTATTATTTGCAGAACAAACAATAGTGTTTTTGTTCAATGTGTTTTTCTATTGTCTGGTCAGCCAGTAAAGTGTATTAATCAGCTTGTTGAGACTCGATTCTAACTTGAGCAGAGGATTCCTTTACAAAGACTGTCTTTATTTACATTTGTCAGGGGTGCCATACAGTGTAGTTATGCAATTTAAGGTGGAGGTTATTTACTTATGGTGCGTTCGAGTATAGATGAGATGGTTGTAAATCTGAGGCACGAGAGTCGGTGGGTGAACAGTACTCTGTTTATCAGAAAGCTGACCGGTGACTTCAGTTCCTCCATATCCTCAACAACAAGAGTGACAAATGAATAAAACTATCCTTCTCTTCCTCATTCCACGTGCAACTGTATAGCTGTCCTTTGTTTCTGCTGTATGTCCACGTCTTATTTTAGCACCGTACATACATTATGGCATTACCAGCAGACTGTCACTTTGAAGTACAGTATACACAGGCAATACACATTCCCCCCATTACATGACTATTGATCAAAACATTACTGTTCCGAGCTATTAAAGGGGCCCTACTATTCAAATGTCAGGTTCATATATGTATTTTTTTCTCCCAACTGTGACATGTCTCCATGCTTTAATGTTTAAAAAGCTGTTTATTTTTCTCACACTGCCTGTGCTGCAGCACCTCTTTTCACCCTCTGCCTCAAACCAGAGCCAAGTCTGCTCTGATTGGTTAGCTGCCTCTGTTGTGATTAGTCAACTACTCGGAGATGTCCCGCCCCGCAGCAGCGCAACATTACATATAGATGACACTGTTATGGAAGTAAACACAGGCGTCCAATGGAGGCGTTTCAGGCAGGAGGAGTGTGTGGGAGAGTAACGTAGGAATTTCAGCCGTTGCAGACCATTTACATGCACAAAAACCTATAATATTCCGAAATGGGGAATTCGGAAGAATAGCATAATAGGGCCTATTCTCATTTTTATATTTTCCATTTCTCGTACGTATCTTTTTACCCATTTTCGACATATGCTAATTAAATAAACCAACAACCCTATGCCTCACTTTACAGGATAGAAAGAATAAATCTTTGGTGCCACAATTACATCAATATATAGTTGAGACTTGTCAGCAATTTCAACTCATGGTTATCACAACCTTACATGTCATCATTAACTTGAGCCTACCACTTTCATGTGTTTTTGTGAAGCAATACCAAGAAGCTTACTCATCTATCACATTACAATTTCCAGTAAGCGCCAGGCAGCTGGGACTTCATTACCTGCTAGTCTAACGTGTCAGGACAAACATCATGTGGCTACTAGCATTAGCTTTTCCTGAAGTATGGCAGATGTAAACGGACTAAGTTAAGTGCTGAACAACAACGCCTCGCTGAAGCACAGGTGAGCCCAGAGGCCTTGAAACTCTGATTTTATATAACCGACATGACAGAAGCAGTGAACTCTCGTCAAGCTAACAGTGAAGTGAGAAATCTGACATGTCACGATGTGCGCTGGCAAATAACACACAGGGTGGCAACTGGATAAACACCAACATTTAAAAACAAACCTAGAAATTCTTATGTATTTATGCTAACATGTACACAACGGCTCTCCCTCTCTTTCTGGCACAAACACACAACCAGCCTGAGGGTTGTGCCACATAATGAAGCATATCATCAATACAGCTAATGTCCTGCTGCTTTAGACTATTTGAAACATTTTGTTTTTGTTTGCATTCAGAAGCGTTGATTATGTGGATCAAAATAGCAGAGTTATAGTTGAGGCTGTGTACGACATTTGAACTTGAGCATCCAGGCACCTTGTGACATTACGTCAGTAAACTGCATGACCCTGGCTCCAGCTGGTTTGCATCAGAGGGACATTGTTGAATTGTCATTTCCTGACGGTGGACTTAAACACTGTTTTCATACTGGGGTCAAACTGTGTGCTTTATGCGTAAATAATGAAAAACAAACATTATCTTTATCTATGTGTGTGCTTGAGATTCATTTTGACATACTTAAGTATTTCCTATTTATGCTAAAATATACTTTTTCCAGGGAAACATTGATTTGGCTGCTAAATGTTCTTGTTTATATTGCCGGAAAACGATTCAGAAAACAAACAGTAAGCCCACATTAGGGAGTTAGCATTAGTTCCAGTTGTAATAATGCTAATAATAAACCGATGATGTAAATAATGTTGGGCAGCAGATTTTGGGGGAAATCTCCTGCAGGCCAAAAACTATTAGCAAAACTTCTACTAGTGTCATATTGTGACATAGAAAACTATTTAACTGCTATTATACCTGCTTTAAGCAAGTCATTTTGAAATGTATTTGTAAATAACTCATTTTACACTGTGCTATTGCTACTTTAACCTAAGGAAAGGAATCTACAAATATTATAACTGCACTAAAGCAGTGTTGTTAACCAATCTAATTCAATATATAAAATGTTCTTTATACAGCCAAATATCACAAATTACACATTAGTCTTAGGGGGCTTTACAGTGTTTACAGCATAAGACACCCACTGTCCTTAGACCATCACATCAGAAAAACTCCCAAGAAAACCCCACAAATAAAGGGGAAGAAATAAAAGATACATCTGGATATGAAACCATGGAGGGACAGATGTGCAATAGAAGTTGTGCGTATACACTTAAAAGATAATGGATTGACATTCTTACAATACTGATAAGTTCAGAGATATTGGAGACTGTTTTCCGTTGGTTTTTTAATAATGTTTTAATAGTACATAATGTACATAATAAATCAATTATGAATCCACTGCAGTGTGGAAATATTTCTCAACTGTATCACAGCAACGAAAACACTAGGGTCTCAAATGTCAAAACCGATCTATAAAACAATTACTCAGCTCGTGTGCTCTCACACTTTATAATCTCCCCAACATTTTTAGACTTTACACTGCATGTCCAGCCGAATGTGTTTCCTCAGCGGTCATTTCCTGTCAGTCTCACTGTAAGTGGTGGGGGAGGCAGACTGCTGCAACCATGGGCTGAGCATTTCCAGCCCAAAACACACACAAAAAAACTCCCACCACAAATCTGAAGCCTATCTGTGCTCAGGCTTTTCCATATTAACCTTTAACACATAGTGAGTCAGAGCCAACTGACACAGCCCTGATAACAAAGCCCTGACATCAGGATGAAGGCCTGCCAAAATATCAGTCACTTTCTCTGCACGACATGAGAAAAAGTATTAAAAGATGAGGTTACAGGATATGAACTACAGCACGCTACATGCAATTCCTAGTTGTGCACAGAAAAAAAGGCTCTTAAGCTTCTCCTAGCTACACACCCTTTCATATTGCTCCATCTGTGGATTATCACAGGAGAACGGTATTTGGGTGAGACCTATGAAGTCGAAACCCCTGTCCAGAACAATAACTTCATGTTTTTGTTCATGAAAGCAAAACTAGGACACCCATACTCTTTCCCAAATCACCACATACAGTGATCTATAATTTCCCCTGTGGTTGGTACTTGTAGCAACAGGTTGTAAACAAGGTAGGCCTTGTCCCAGCCTTGGTTTAATATCTCACTACACAACTCAAACTAAACTCGCAAAGGCCGACCAGCAGCCTCACATTCCAGCAGACAGAGAGAGAGACAGAGAGGGAGAGAGCGGGAGGGAAGGTCTGACTTGGATAAGAGCCAAGACAGTTTTCCTCCTTATGTGTGTTTCCCCTATAAGTTGTGCAGCTCAAACTCGACTTGAACAACAACATAAAGCAACAACATATAGCATTTTACTTGCAGGCTGACTTACAACAACACAAAAACACACACGTGGATACTTTGGATTAGTTGTTTAGAATAACATGGCACTAACACACAGACAACACAATTGCGCGCACACACCTGCTCCTCCACGGCCACATCCTGCAGGGCCTGGCCGTCCCGTGGGCCTCGGATCCAGGTCAATATCTGGCCCATGTTGGCTGAAAGTGCCTCCGAGCGTGTGTTTGTGTGTGAGCGTTATGTCTGTCAGCCTCTGCCTTGTCTCTCAGCTTGCAGCATGTTTCCAACTCACAGGGAGAGGGAGGGTGGAGAGAGCGGAGGGGAGGCGTGGTCTGGGAGCAGAGAGGGCAGAGGGGGGGGGGGTTAGCCTCATATGTGGATATGTCACAAGAGGCCGTAACTCTCTGGGCTATAAAGGGAAGGGAGCTGACCGTGGACTGACACCCACCTGATGAGGGGCCACATCTGAGCTTCTCTAGGAAGCAGATACAAGGGCACACATGCTTAAAAATACGCCCCGTTAGGTGTGTACAACTTTTTTTTGCAGTGTATTGGGACAATTTTAGTGCTGCTTATCAACAAGCACACCCAGATGTGTGATGGTATACATGCCTTGAGCACACACAGGCATAGAGACACTTTGTGTACACACTGGCTTCTTATGTACACGCAGTTATAAAGGATTTTGCAACCACCCTCCATGGCTGCCTAATTGCCGATGAGAATAAAGGGAGGGGCCAGACTTTAGTTTTATATTACATCTGCGTCAACTGTCTTCGGAGAGAAAACAAGTCTGAGCCGAGAACTTTCAACTCTTTCTCTGTCAGATATCATCAACCCCTGACGATAATAACAGGGACATACAGACATATATTGATAAAGCCCTGGGTGTTTCAACATCTGGTCAACAGGTCAGAACTATGAACCGATAGGCACCGGGTGAGCCAATGATAGACTGTTATCTGTAGCAAATGGATGGGGATTTCGTTGTTTTATAACAGCCGGATTGGCAGCAAGACAATTATTTGTGAAACCAGAATGTAGGGAGTGTTTAAAGAAAACAACACTAATGGATTCACTGAGGCCAAAGGCTTATGGGTGTTGGCTTTCAGAACATTTATCTTTCATCCTTTATCACCAAAATGAATACTTCGGACTTTAATTGAACAACAATCTACAGAAGGGGGAATACAGCAGTATCGTCTGAACAACCGTATACACAAGAAGAATATGTGGATAAGGTATATTCAGGTGTATCCATGGCTGGCGTTTTCATGTCATTTAAAGGAAAAGCAATGCAAGTGCAAAATGCAATTCCATTCATACCTCTGCGGCTTCTTCCTCCCCAATGACTTGGGTGGATTAGAGCGGCCCTTTGGGTGGGGTGTGCCGACAATGCAGTCGTTGAGTGAGTCACTGTGATGGAATAAGTCTGATCCTTTATTCACTTAAAGGTGTTTAGTAGCACACCTCAGCAAAAAATGGAAATCATGTACTGCCGAGTAGTTTCCTCCAGCCAGACCTGACACTCCTGTTTGTGCAGCACACGTAAAAAATGGTTCATCCATCCATCTTCTCCCGCTTATCCGTGGTCGGGTCGCGGGGGTAGCAGTTCCAGCAGAGAGCCCCAAACTTTCTTTTCCCTGTTATTCCCGGTTATTATATCTAAATGTCCAAGTGGAGTGGTGTGCTCTTCCTTTATGCATGCCATATAGAAAGCTTTAAGGATGCTAAATATTATTCCTTGGAACCTCTACCATCCTTGTGCAATATGATAATGGGAGTAAATGGTTAACCCAGGCCCAGGGTTTCAAAACAATCCACTTCCACTAGCTCTGAGTTACATATTTGTTGTTATTGAACAAACCCAATTGGGAACCATTGTATATTTTTCAATTTCTAGACTTGTTTAGTTGATTTTCAGAGAATAATAAGCCTAGTTATGTGAGTGTTGGTCCAATATGCAAGGATTGTGCCAGTAGGAAAGCTTTCTTAAGCGATGGCCAAGTGCAGTGAGAACATCTCTAGGATAGCTTTCCTTAGAACCCCTTGGCGCCCTTTGGCCGCAGTCTCCTTCATAATCCACCTCAGAATCATAGGTCAGTCCAACTTGAACCCATAAACATCACACACACATCTGTCTTTACAGTCAGTAACGTAGACATTCTCAGCTTTGATGGGCTATGCAATAAATATTTTAAATCATCTCAGAAATCCTAGAAAACATTTGATTTGAATCAAACCAAACCCATTTGTGTGTGTGATAACCATCTGTACATCCAGGGGTTCGTTGTATACGGGAACTCTTATTTTACATCAAAAATGTAAACAATTAAGTTGAAGCCCAGAGCAGACTCACTGACACCATGGCAACACCCATGTATGTCTGCAAAGCAACTAAAAGTTAGAGCAGGTCATCCCAAAAATGATTTAAAACAAAGACTAATATAGGAGTTACAGAATCCGTTCATATGCTCAAAGTGATACAAGAAACGTTAGAAGGGCTCAGAATGTCAAGTGGCCCGAACACTGACGCTTTCCTCTACCCATTCATTTCCCCTATTCTGAAACCTTGTGGAAAAGCAGGCAAAACAAGTTGTCTTTGTTTTGTCTTAGGAGGCCCCCGTTTATAGACTTCAAAACCTTGTCTCTGTACCATCTGATCAACGCACAGCAAAGGAAGTAAGTCATACAAGTTTTCTTTGCATTGCCTATCTTTACCTAATGAATAGAAAAAGACAAACAAAGCATGTACAGCACACATTTGAAAAGGCTCATGCTTGCACATGTGTGTACACATGCATACAAGCATACATGCCTCCACATCATGGCACACCCTCTGTCAGACGGACACACCTTTCCCTATCTGAAGTACCACATGACCCAACCTGTAAAACTAGCTTGTGCACCTTGGGAAAGATATGTCTGCTAATAGAAACACCTACAGGAACTAGTATGACTAATATCAGATTTTCACAAAAATAATCTTCTTCTTTAGTGACAAGAACAGCTGATAGTGCAAGCTCAACATTTCAAATAGCAAACCTGAGAGAAGAAAATTAAATATGAATGGAAATGCCAGATGTTTCATAAACATGTATGGAGTGTCAGAGTGAGCATATGTAACTGGACTCCTCTGCTAATCTGTCCCTCTTCTATATATTTAGACCCATGTCGTCCTACAGTCACTACTATCTTCACTACAGCAGTGCAGACATCTACACAAACTGCCCATCACCCCCTCACACGGTACGTCCACTGTTATCAGATTACTAGAGAGATTACATAGTTTCTGCACTAGACAGACAGGTATGAAAGATTAGGAACTCTTTAGCCATTTGCACATAAAACCCAAAGACATCACTACATTAACATAACAGGTCAGACGAAAGTTGGCTCTCACAGGGAAAGTGTGAAAATAATCTGTGAAAAAGTAGGGAGAAGTAGAGCATTCCTTGTAAAGACACACACGTTTACTAATAAAGATAAAAAGCAGCTCAGGAGTTTTTGCAAGAGCAAATAAGAGTCACAGTATTGCAAAAATGTTCCAAGTGCACCAAAAATAAAGGGTTATGCAATAGTTTCCATATGATTACTACGGCAACTAAACGAACAATGTTCACAGACATTTTGATAGCAGAGACCAGGCTTAAAAAAGATCAGGAATGTTAACAGTGTGGGTTAACAGCACCTCCTTGTCAGCACAAGCAACTTCCTCAGGATTTGCACTCAGCAGAGGGAGACAAACACAATACTTCCTTCACATGTACAGCGTTCAATCCAGCAATGAGCATTTACTTCAGAATGGTACGCACTCTCATTTACTACAAAGCAGGTTTTTAACAACGTTCTTCCTTTTCTGACCTGTGGTCCCATTTTTGGGTCCGAAATCCTCAACCATAGACATAAGAAAGTTTGTTTAGCAGCCATTTTGAATTAAACGAAAAAGTAACATTAACATTGTGTCACATAACTGAGTGAGTAATAGTTCCCTTTTATATTGAATTTTGAGAGATTCATCCTTCTACAGCAGGAGGAGGGGAGTCAGTACCTTGCCATAGTAGGACCCTGCAGTGGAATAGGAGTTTGAAGACCTGCCGCTATGATGGATCTGTGGGGAGGCAGGAGCCTCTCCTTTCTACACACAAAAAACACACAAAATAAACACCAGATTGTGCATGCCAAATGATCTGTTGCCAATAAATTCAATGGAAGTTCTGCACAGGATGCCATGACTTTAGACTATTGTGTTGGTAGTTTATTCATACAACATCTGATGAAAAGTATTTCATGTTCAGTCAAATTGCAAATCAAGTCAAATTGTTGCTATTCATGCTTTTTAGTGTAAATCTAATGCTACCAAATACATCTCATTTACAGCAAATGTGTCATTTTATTATATTTGGTAGAACTGTTAGCAATAAAAACTGCATGTCATTCAAATAAATGTCTTACAAAAATCTTACAACATGTGCAACATTAGATTGAAATTTGTTTTGTAGCCAGAATGCTGCATTACATTTAGATCTGATCAGAAATGCATGTCAAAGCCTATCTCAGTTTAAACAGTCACACACCCTGGTATATAAAAACTGCGTGTGTGACAGAATATGGGCAAAGCAATCAATATGATTAACTTATATTCAAAGGGATATCTAGTGCAGCCTATGACATGTTTTAACGCGCATTCAGCAGCAGATTCAATTTCAGACAAGTTTTGCTGGTTTACGACAATAAAAAGAAAGCAGCCGCGTCTCTTTTGGTGCCAATGGATTAGAGAAAATTGCCAGAGGGTCAAAAAGAGAGAGAAGTAGCAGATGTACTCACAAGGCTCATCCAGTATGCTGCATACGCCATGAGAGATCAGGAGGAGAAACTCTGAAAGAAGTTTGTTCCACCCTGCTCTGCCCCTCTCTCCTCACCGCATGCAGGATATTTTCACTCATGCCTCCTCAAACAGCCACTCCCCACATTGATCTGATGATTACCACACATGGCTGTCTGGAGCCCTCTCCTGGACCTGGCTCTTCCGAATAACAATAGAGAATCAAGTCCACCTGCAGATAAACTCCCCCTCCTCACTTCCATGACCACTCACATACAACGTTTAAAGTGACATAGTTGTATCTTTGTTTGGCGATGTGGGCATGCAAACAACCGAAACACGACCATCAATATGTTCAAACACTGCCAACAGATTGATCGATGCTGACTTCAAGACCAGGTTAATCGATGCTGCTGATTCATGTCGCACACACTCAAAAAGCACAGAAAATGTGACGCTTGTGAATTGCAAATTACTTGCAGCAATCATATGGAAAATATTGCGGAGTTATCTGAAGTTATTTGGGTGTTTTGGAAAGAATGTGCATCCATAAACACTTTCAACTTGATACGTCGTGCAGTAAAAGAGAACACTTACTTCTTTCGCCTCCTTGTGGTCTTTATCGTGACCATGGCCTTTCTTCTTGCTCTTGTGTGGCATCTTGAAAACACGGGTGGATCGACGATTTTAATTGTGCTTCTGCGTCCTTTGTTGTGCACTGTTGTGGAATCTGATTATTCACGCGGATCTGCCCCTTGGAACAAAATTCAGTGGCCCCACCTGCTGAGAAAGCTTTCGGCTCAGATGATTGATCGAAGTGAAAGCTGGCACCAGCAAATGTTTTCGCGTTTGTATGTAGGCCAATTAAACATGGAGCTGCAGCAAGTAAAGTATTTTTTCTACTTGATGTTCACAGAACTTGGTGGTACTAGTTCAGACAAGACGAGGGAAATGCTGAAATACAGATGTGATCATGTGAAGGATGTTGGATCGAAGGGTCTTTACAAACTGAAGTTACTGTGTGATTCAATGCATGTGAAGCAACAATATTAAACCAACATGAAACACAGGAAGAACACACACAACCACACGTACACACTGTTTTGGGGCATGACGGACACGCCCCACAGTCCGAGGAACAGTTGACTCACTGCTGATGTTATCCTCTTCCTCTCAAAGAGCTGGAGCCTTTATTTAGAACAACACTGCCCTCTGGTGGCCAACAAAGGGACTGCCAGCAGGCACAATAAAGAGGAACAGGACACCGTATAATGTAAACCAGGGGTGGGGCACCTCCGGCCCCCGGGCCGTATACGGCCCGCGAGACCATTTGGTGTGGCCCTCGAGGTAATTTATAAACACACGCAAAAAAGAAAAAAAATTAAAGAAATCTAGACCGCAAAATAATTAAACAAGTGAGTGCCTGTTTTTCCTGGCCAAGGTCAGGGTCCTTGAACACAACACAAGCCTAACGTGTCATCACGTGGTATATGTCTCGTCTGACAGGGGTGTAGTGCTGACGGAGAGCAGTGAGCACCAGAACGCCGCTCCGCTCCGGCACTTCCAAAAATGTCAGTACCCATAAGGAGCCGTACACATGCTGCAGTTTTTGCGTGGCTGTGTCTTAGTTGAAAGCCCAGTGGCGATCTGTTCATCTGTCATACTGATCATACAGTCAATAACTTTGTTGTTATTAGCATCTGGTTAGCTAGCTATGCTAACGAATATAAGAAGCTTTTTCTACAACCAGTGAGGTAAAGGCACATCTTTATATGATCATTATAGTTATAAAACAAATAAGAGAACAAAGTAAACAGGTATAAAATACTATATGACAGTAAAAAAAAGTTGTTATTAATAAACAAGAATGCAGTTTGAAAGGAGAGTGATTTGTAAAATACCCATAAAGAAAAAGAAAATCTGTTTACAGTTCTGTTTCATCTGGGTGTTGAGAGATGTATCCATAGATCTCCTAATGTTGCTCTCAAAGTGCACCAGATTGATGCTTTTAACTTAAACATTTAAAAAAACAAATCTTCCCGGGGGAGCATGCCCCCCGGACCCCCCTAGAGGAGGTTAGGCCCCCCCCCACTTAAATCATGTTCACATGGATAGGAGTCTAAATACATTTGCACACATCTTGTGTCCATATTAGTGCTGTCAAAATTATCGCGTTAACGGCGGTAATTAATTTTTTGAATGAATTGCGTTAAAATATTTAACGCATGTGCAGAATGGCCCGCCCCATACGTGCCACCAGTGGCAGCGCCAGGGTATGGCTGGGGTAGGCTACACCCATACCAAGAAATGGCTTAGCCCCACCATGAAAAATGATGTTAAAGTAAGCAAAATAAAGTCTGCCAACTCGCGCGGAGTAAATTGCACAGACAGCAGTTAGTAAGATTGATTTCAGTAGCCACGGTTTTGAAAACTTTTGTCAAGTAGTGATCGTCTTCTCAATAGAACATCTTTGATAACGGCGTGGTGTTGTTGCAGGAAGTCCCGACGGAGAATACTTTTGCTGTAGTACAGGGGTGCACATAACTGGTACGCAGGTTATGTGCAGTGCTGGAATTGGGCCGGTACTCACCGGTACGCAGTACCGGCACTTCTGGTTCTGACCCATGGAGTACCGGCACTTCTTGCTCAGTACCGGCATGCTGGCGGTACTCCGGTACTCATGCACCGTGCCAGTACTCAACACTCTCCCGCCGTTCTTATTATACATCCATATATATATATACAGCCGCCCGGTACTCAGTAGATGCGTCATGAGGTGCCGAACGGACATTCTCATCGCTCTAACCGCTGGAGTTTCACAGCGGCTGTCAGCTGTTTACTCCTGTCATTCAAACAGAACGTGCTGGAGAGGGGGCGGGGCTTATCTTCTCCATGTAAATACTGTGGTGGAAACGACTATGTCAAAATTAACCTATTTGACCGTGATTTAATAGTAATACACGTTTCAAAATAATAATAATAATAATAATGCCGAAGTAACAACATACTGAAAACTGTTAGTAAAACCATGTTTTAATGCTTTACAATTTACATACCTAGATGCACGTGTGTTGTGTTTATGCAGTGCAACTCCCACCCAGTGGGTGGCTATGTAGAGTGATAGAACAGAGCAGGCACGCCCCCGAGAGAAGGAAAGCAAGTCACGTCACAAATTAGCATTTCTAAAATGTTAGCGTGGATTAATAAAAGTGCAAAAAGACAGCGGTTGTCGCCGGAAGAAACTTCAAATACAGAGAATGCTGTGCCTGTGTTGGAAATTGTGTCTGATGGGGAGCTTTCTTTGGTTGATCCTCTTGCTCCAAGTTCTAGTGCATTAGCATTAGCACTAGCTCCGCCGCCTCCTCCAGAGCCTCTAACGTTAGCTGCTGCTGGCTCAACTGCCACCACCAACACCGGGCAAAGCGATGCACCTGACTGCTGGACAACGGACCAGGTGCAATATTTTTGCAAGACCAATGCATGGCTCCTTCTTAAAGATAAGAAGCTAGGATGTCGGATATGCAGAGATGTCAAATCTTTGGGAATACACACTGGACAAGGACTGAAACTGTCAACTGAATGGGGTGAGTGTGCAGTGTCTCATTTCGGTGTTGACAAGGGCAAACAACAAGCTAGCCTGAGAAAAAAAATCAAAGAACATAAAGAATCACAAGCCCATGTAAAAGCTGCTGACATCCTTACATCTGCTTCACGTGAAACTATTCAACATCAAGTGCAGTCTATGCATACATCTGAATTAGACACCACTATCAGAGTTTTTCGAACGGCATATAAAATTGGCAAACATAGCCGGCCATTCACAGACATGCCAATTGATTTGAATGTACAGAAACTGAATGGGCTGAACGTGGGCAGGGTTTTGCACTCCAATAAAACCTGTGGCGAAATCATCGACCACATAGCTCATGAGCTGAAGAAAAAAATGGCAAAAGACATTACAGAAAACCAAAGAAAACTCTGTGTTTTGGTCGATGAATCTACCACTATTAGTGGTAAAACGGTGCTTGTTGTGTGTCTACGCTCAGCATTAGCTGATGCTGAGCCCGAAACGTTTTTTTGGGAGCTGATCGAGTTGGATGGAACAACGGCTGATGACATCACAAAGGCGTTAATGGAGTGTCTTGGAAGAGATTTTAACGAGGACTTTTTAGGTCAGTGTTTCGTTTCTTTTGCATGTGATGGGGCTTCAGTCATGCTAGGGAAGAGAACAGGCGTTGCTACCCAGTTGTGTAGTAAATTCCCAAGCCTGTTTGTGTGGCACTGCTCCAATCATCGTCTAGAGCTGGCAGTTGGGGATGTGGTCAAGGAGGTCTCAGGGCTCAATCATTTCCAGATCTTTTTTGACAAACTCTATTCCTTGTTCCATGCCTCCCCCAAAAATCAGAGGCAGTTAGCGCAGTGTGCGCAAGCAGTCGGACAGCGTCTCCTGGTGATAGGGCGTGTTTTGTCCATCCGCTGGGTGGCTTCAAGTGAAAGGAGCGTCATAGCAGTCTGGGAAAACTACCGAGTGCTTCATGATCACTTCACAAATGCTGCAAACGACACGAGCAGGGATTCCAGAGACAGAGCAAAGTACAAGGGCCTGGATGATGTGCTCACATCTGCAACGTTTGTCAGCAATCTGGGACTGATGTACGATGCGCTCACAGAGCTCAGCGACCTCTCTCGGCAACTCCAAAAAAGAGAGATGACACTGCCTACAGCAGATAGGCTCTTAACTCGAGAAATACGAGTTTTTGAATCCATGGTCACCATGCCTGGCCCACACATGACTACAGTTCATACAGCTCTAGCTGAGAAGTCCTTCAAGGGTGTTGCCCTGCGTGAGAATGGCAGGCTTGTACAGATTCATGCAGGTCAGTTTTTCCGCAGTATGGTAGAGAATCTGAGACACAGAATGACTTCCACAACCTCCTCTCATGTCAGCACAAGAGAAATCCCATTACATGGCCGGGAGGCCCGGGACAATCAGCTAATCCAGGACATGAAAGTTATCCATCCTGGAAGTTGGCCTGAAGAGGAGTTAGACGTACAGTATGGGGACGTAGAAGTGCTACGTTTGTGCGAAGTGCTGAAAGTGGACAGAAGAGAGACTGTTCAGGGCTTTCTCGAATACAAGGAAACCAGGGCATCCCGTACACCTGCTGCCATGGAGCCTCTACTGAAAGCAGTCCGAACCATCGCTGTCTCCACTAGTGAGTGTGAGCGGGCATTCAGCTGCATGAACGATATCCTTACTG